TCCTGCGGGACACAAAATGCTCCTGCCCTTTTGCAGCCTGCTTCATCCTTGGGTGCCCTCCTGGCAACTGCTAGGACTTCACACAATAGATCTAGGCTCTCCTGCCTGTGCTCCCAGTGCTTGCCAGGCCATGGGGCCGAGAGAGCCCATTGCCGAGCTCAGTGCCAGCAGGAGCTGTCCCTCCAGTGCTCCTCTCCCACAGCGCTCCCCGCCAGGAGACCCTTTCTCAGCAGCAGTGGGGAAGAAGTGCTGGGTGGCCCCCAAGCCCAATGGGCCTTGGCTCACCTCCTTGCTGTGGTTACACAAAGATTGGCAGTGTGGTGATCTCCAGGCGGATGTGTGCCAAGTCGGGGAGCACCGGCTCCTGTGGACATACATACTGGATCAGTTTTGGGGCCCAGAGCAATCCCCTCACGTCCCTCCAAGGCCACCACCACCACCATGCCAACTGGCAGCAAGGCCTCAGTGCCTGGCACTGTAGGGGCATGACCGGGCTGCAGCACAGCATGGCACCAGGAAATAGGGCACCCTGGGGCACACTGGCACCAGACTTCCCTTGCACCTCAACCGCAATGGTATGGGGACAAGCCCTGCCCTGGCTGTGGGTGTTGGGCAGGAGCCTCACGTCACCCCTTGCTGCCAAGCCCAGCTGTGCCTGGCCAACATGGTGGGGGGGGATCTGCTGGGCTTGGGGAAAGGGCAGGAGAGGTCAGGACCTGGCACAGACCATGGGTGCCCAGCAGCTGCTGGGCACAGGATCTCACCTCCTTGTCTTCCTTGGCCTGGTAGTGGCCTCGCACACTCCTAATTTTTAGCCCTGCTCGAGGACGGCAGTCCTTGGCCCCACCAGGAGTCCAGGGGAGGGAGGCCACGATGCCCTGCAGGGACCACAGGCGTCAGAGGAGTCAGCATGAGGTAGTGTGGAGGGGGAAAAGAACAAGGGGTTGGTGGGGCTGATGGCAAGTAGGAAAGATGCTCTCCCACTCCATGTGGGCTGCAGCTGTGCTGGATGTCTGCTATGGGCTGCCAGCAGCAGAGCCCCAGAAAAACCCACCCTACCAAAACCTGTGGCTTTGATTGTGTATTTGGTGCTACCTGGGCCCTGATCCCACTGCTTGCCTGGGCTTGCTCTGGGTCAGCATCCGGCTCGGCCCTCCTGGCCCTCTTTGGAGCCTGAAAAAGAGAAGCAGACCCTCTTTTGAGACCCCCTGGGATCAGCCATGCCTAAGGGCCAAAGTTGGTGTTGGGGTGTTGCGCTAGAGGGAGCCCCTTTCCCCATCCTGAGCCTGCTCCCTGCCAGAGCTGTGGCTGTCCAACAGTGCCAGCCGCAGCCTGAGCCACCCTCTTCCAGCTACCATCTCCCAGCCAGTAAGCTTTCAAGGGGCCTCAGCCCAGGTTTTGGCTGGGGATGCTCAAATGCCTGCCCCTGATAGACTTCCTTGACCCCTGCCAGGATCCCGAGCTGCGCACAGAAATGTCCCCAGGAAACTCAAACAGGAACTGCCCTGGCCCCATCTATCCCATCCCACCATCTGGGGCAGGCAGGCTGGCACGGGGCCGTAGGCAAATAGGAGTGTGTTTGGGGTCCCCATCACTCTGACGTGGGTGTCTTGCTGTCATTGCAGAGCTCAGGTATGCTCCCTGTGTGCCTGGCCGTGCAGTGGGACCTGCTGTGCCTGACTCAGGGCCCTTAGAGATGCCAAGAAAGGGGAGAAGGGGCTGTTGCTCACTCAGAGCAGGCAGCAATGCCAGCACATGCCTGCGATGCTTGGCCCTGCTGCCTGGCAGCTCCTGTTGAACCCTGCCAGAAATCCCTCTCCCTGGGGCATAGGGTCCCTCAGAGATCCCTGTCCCTGCGTGGGGCCTGCGCTGCCCTGTCCCCAGCCCTCACCAGCATGGGGAACGTGTGTGCTGAAGGCGATGCCTGCCGCCGCTTTGTGGGGAGCCTCTGTGGGGTTGCGCTGGCCATAGTTGTGGGTTTCCTCTCCATGACCTGCAAAATCAGGAAGGGCAGATCATTAAGCAGCTTTGTCTATGCAGCAAGGGGAAGGCTCGGGTACATCCTCGCCAGCACCGTGAGGGTGGGACAAGTTCAGAAGACAGGACGGTTGTCCCAGGCACATGGATCCTGCTGTAAGCCTGGGCCATGACATGGGCTCCCATCATGTCCACCTCCTGCAGTGGCCACGGGCTGCTCCATGGGGTGCTCAGCTCTCCTGGCCCAAAAGGGACCAGGGAGAAACCAGCCAGAAACATCTGCTTCCTGCATGCAGTTGGGCACTCGGGTGTGTACAGTGGGGATTGTCCCTGGCCACTTTAGGACACCCAGCGCAAAAGGGCCCTACTGCAGTTGTGCCCTCCCCACCTCATGCTAGGAAAGGGCCCAGCCTTGTACTGGAGAGTGCCTGCCCTCTGTCACTGCTGAGAATGAGCCCTATCCCATGGGCACAGAGCACTGCTGGTGCAGGACAAGGCTGGCTTTTGCCCTCTGCCCAAAGGGGGACGATGTGCAGAGCTCGGGTTTTGTATCTTTGTATACTTTGTGCATGTCCATTTTGGCTGTTTGGTTGGA